AGAATCAGTAAAAGGGGTTGACAGGCTTTTCGTGCCCCTGGTACTCTGTTCTCTCTTTTTGTGTGTGTGTGTGTGTGTGTGTGTGTGTGTGTGTGTGTGTGTGTGTGTGTGTGTGTGTGTGTCTGCCTGCCAGTCACTGCAGAGTGTGAAAACCGAAACTCACGAGAGAAAAACAACCTAAAGTTAGGGCCGTGCTCAAGGCGTACTGGAATTTTGGGTTTGCTTAGAGGGAAATGTATACGCAGGTTAGTGGGTCAAATTTCATCTTGCCTACAAGCAAGTCGAGTCAAACCCCTGAAATAACAACACTGTATTCATGACAGGTTTGACTCAGTCTGTTTAACCGATGGCAGATTGCCTTTGTTAGTGTTAGAGAGCTGCTTCTAATCTGGGATCAGTTTTTTGTTACAGTGTTTTTGTTCCATCAGGTTCCCTCTAATGAACTAAGTCTTCTCCAGGTCAGCTTAAAAATACCATCAATACCAGTCATCTGCGTCCCTCCTGAACTGGTGCGTGAACTGAACCAGTTGCACGATGGTAAACACATATCCTCACCAAGGCTTTTTGTCTTCAAATATGCGAGGAGGTGCTTTTAGGAAAAATAACTTCTCTTTGTCCTAATTGGTAACATTTGGCCCCAGTTAAAGTGAATGAGGCCCTTGAACCTGCTGACATGATCCCTGCCCACTGTGTTGAGCAATCCCCTCGGAGGAGCTTATGGATTTTGGGGGTTGAAACATGACTAATGACCCCCTTTAGAGAGGTACGGAAATAGCATGTGGTTCTGTTTACCATCCCCGCTGTTCAAGCAAGAAAACTGACGTTTGTCAAACCGTGGGCTCCTTCAGGCCACAGGGCACGATAACATCCCCCGTTTATCCAATACTTATGGGCAGGATCACCAACTGTCAATGGTCTGAGCAGCGGCTGAAACGTGATCAGACCTGTTTTGGTCCCGTCTCATTCACACCGACCTGTTTGAAACAAAGCGGCTCATGTGAAGATGACAAATAGTAAGACAGGAACACAGAAGGTGTAGCTCATGGTGAAGGCATGCTGAAAATGTGAGTCCTCACTTCACTGAAATTGTCCTCAGAAACAAATGTGTTAGGAAGTTTCAGGACCACTTTCTCAAAAAACATTTTTATTTGAGGGTTGATCAGATAAAATAGGATAAAATGAGATAAAACATTACTGATCCCAGAGAAATTTCTTGTGTCAGATATTGCTCAGAAAAAACAAAATGAAATAACATGAGAGTAAATGCAGGAATTAGTCTGATACATTACTGAAATACAACAAGTCAGCTAAAATAAGACGAGAAGAGTAAAAAGTAACCCTGCACTCTAAAACGTAATACCAATGCTTACTTGAATCAGATTAGTGCACGTTACTTATTTCTCATTGTGCCGTTCATTTAGCTCATGGACTGTGAGGATGTACTCATTTTTCCTTAAAGAGTTATAAAACTAATCATACTTGAGTAAACTGGACTTGAAACGTTCTGTTCCTGGACTGAACACCGAGCTCAGCAGTGCACATGTGCAGTAGAGAAGTGCAGGAGAAGTTTCCAGAAACTTTACTGTGGCTCAGGTGGTAGAGCAGGTCGGTCAATGATCGGTTGGCGATTCCGCCCTTTAACCTGTGTCATGGTTGTTGCATCCTCAGGCAAGACACTTCACCCACGGTATGAATGCGTATGAATGGATTGTGTGAGGTGGTGGTTGGAGGGGCAGAATGGTAGCCACGCCTCTGTCAGTCTGCCCCAGGGCAGCTGTGGCTACAATCATAGCTACCACCACTGGAATGAATGTGTGTGAAAGAATAATGGACAGTGTAAAGTGTCTTTGAGTGTCTAGAAAAGCGCCATATAAATCTGATCAATTATTATTATTATTTAAGGTTCTAACACTTGGAAAGATCAAGTTCATTATACTTGCTATTTTGAAGTTCACAAAATTAAGTAAACACAGCTAATTTTTAAGTAAACTTTACAAGTAGATATGAAATAAACTGAATTTAAGACTAGTGGGTATATTTACTCACCTTTTTTGAGTGCAATTGATTTTCTAGATTTGTTTAAGTAAGATCAACTTTTCACATTTTACTGTGTGGCAATAATAATGAAGAAATAAGTCATATTACACATGATAGTAAAATATTGCACATTAAATGGATAAGTTGTATCTAATGTCTTTATAAGTTAGTTACCCAGAACCCATTAGAAAATACAACAGAAAACACCTTATAAAGGGTGCCACATCAGAAAGTGTTGATCTATTACTTTCTAAATCTTTTTTTGTTGTTGTTGGCATTTTAGCTTTTATTCAACTGTGCACGTATCATAGATATATGGGGAGAAACCTGGGAAATTACATAAAGTAAGGAGTCAAGGCTCATTTTGTCACATTTTTCCTCACTTCTAATGCATCATTGTTTCGTTTTCTTATCAACAAACAGCAGGATGATGCAAGAACTAAAATCATAATTGTCTTTTTTCATGTTTCCAAATCATTTTATCCCACTTAATTTTGTGCCTGTGTCACGGAAATTAAAACAATGTCAACTTCAGGTCTAAACCCTATTCAGGATATTGGGGTCTTTTGGACCCCAGACTATTTGGTTTAGGTGACAGGTATTGTTTTTTGTTTTTTTTTTGAGGATTTTTTTTAAAAATATAAAAAGAGGGACATTTGTGAACCAAAAATATGTCAACTTATCAGAAAATGTATTTAACAGAGAATAAAAGTCTATAATGAATACCAACAAATATTTTGCTCGTATTCTTTCTTGGAGTCCAATGGACCCTGAAAGACCTTCTACATATGGCAACATGAAAGTCCTGAGTAGGGTTAAAACTGTATCTACAGACATGAACTATGTGCTGTTTGAACACCCCATGGTAGCACTTCCATCTGGTTCGCCCAGCTTTTCCCAGCATGATGTACAAGTAAAGTTATGCTACCCTAAAGTAAACATGCTCAGTGTGTTCCCCACACTTCTTAAAGTGTTCCTTTGGTGTTTTGTGTTTCGCAGGGTTCCTGTACGACTACACTCAGACGTACGACTGTTCTTTCTACCTGGCTGGCCTCTGCTACCTGCTGTCCTCCCTCTCCCTGTTCATGGAGCCGCTGGCTCAGCGCTGGAAGGCCCGGCAGAAACTGTCCTGCGCCAAGACGGCGGAAAGCAGCTGTAAGACCAATGGCTGCTTCACCCCTGACCGCTTGCAGAACGGCGCTGTGTAGGAATGAAATCCGGGGAAGGCCTTCGATCTTGAACCAACATGCTCATGACCACAGGCCTGCATACCTCGGACCTCGGACTCCAGCTTAAAGTCGGGACCTTGACCATTGGTTTCAGCAGGAGCGCAACACGCGCCCGAGGAACAGGCGGTTGTGACCGCAGCAACATGACGTCTAAGAACATACGATAGCCGGGACGCTGGTGAATAGAAGTTCATACTGAACCTTTACAAAAGCCAAAATTTTAGAGTTCTATGACATACTTTACCCCCTGTTCTTGTTCTTATCAGAGGTTCGTGCATCAGAACTGAGAAAACCGATGCTCAGCACACATATTAACCATAACTTATTGAAAGATAAACCAACTCCGGGTCCCAGTGCGACAACAAAACTCCACTGACTCTGCAGTGGTGTCCATACTGCTCGGAACTGAGCTATGCAGTCGATCTCGAGATCCAGTCCGCTACTAGTTTTTCTGCGACGACATAAACAGAAGCACATATCCACGAAGACGTACATTTCCACCTGATGTCTTGGGAAGCCTTTACCTGTATCTGTAAAACCTGTACTCACTGATATGCACTTTGGGCCAAGTTGTAATTATGCTGCATGACATTCTTCTCTTACCTTTAACTGCCAAGATAGTTGAGATACCGAGCAACCACATAATTACAGCCTGTTCATGACACCATGTGTAATCTGTTATACAATGCCAAAAAGCCGTGATTGCTCCAGTAGTATCAGTAACAGAAAAAAAAACAAAAAACATGTAACTATTGTAGGCATGTGCTAGCATTTAACGGGTATACTCACTTTCAGCGACGCACACGGATATTCTTGTATTTTATATCTTTATTATTCTATTATGAACGCTTTCTGGTCTGCCAACTGTTGCAGCATACTTTCATATGGACACACAATTCAATCTTTAAACTTAAATCTGTTAAGATTTTTTAATACTCTCCCTCTTTTAAGCTTTTTTCTCATCGAAACAAACCTGCTGAATGTTCCTGTTGTCTTTTAATAACCTCTGTTCCTCTTCAACCCTGTATTTTCTCCTACACTTTGTACTTTAGCTCAGTTTTTCATAATTCTTACAGAGTCACACAGTAGACGTTTGATGCTTTTTAGAGACCAGAAGTTATCATTTTGAGCGATTTAAGGACAGGAGGAAGTTCGACTGAGGCTTCTCTCTTTCATTTCTTTCACTCAAAGCAAACCTGCTTTTGCACATCAACTGACAGTTCGGATGCTTTTAGCAGCAAATGCATCTGCTGACATTCCAGCATTCACATCTTATTTTTAAACTGACATTTAAACTGCTTTCAGCACGTAAAAGTAAACTGACACTTCAGCTGATTTTACTCTTGAAATGACTGTTTTTAAACCGACACTCGGCCGCTGTCACTACGTCCACGCCAACACTTAGTTGGCTGCTATTAATGTCTTTCGTAAATGAAGATTCTTCTGCTTTCAGCTCTGACACTTGAACACCTCAGCTCCTTTCACTTCTAATTGCAATTCAAACCATTTCAGTGCTTTAAATCCAGCTGACACTTCGCTTCCTTTCGCTTTAAGACGTTTTAACCAGTTTACAGTGATTGCACCTGCGATCTTCTGCACAAGTCACAACTGTTAATCTTCTCTCTTCCCTTGATTTATTCAATCAAACCCTCAGTTGTGACCTTTTTAAATACTACGACTATAATTCATCTTTTTGTGGGATGAGACACATTTAAATGTTTTTCTTGACACCTTCAACTTGGCAATGGTCACATCAAGCTCATCGTTTCTGAGCTGTTCTATGCAAGTGCACACAGACAGATTTTTTTTTCTTCGGATTAACACGCACACATTTTAACTCTAGCAAATACACCAGCTCCTGAACATAAAAAGGCCTGTTTAGTTGAGGTTTTCTACATATTTTGATGGCAGTTGGGTTGAACAGCAGGGTTTTCTACGCTATTGTGTGTGATTAAGTGTTCTCGTGTGTCTGTAACGCTCTGACCAACCTGTGTTGATGGAGTGACGTTGAACATGTAACCCAAGTGGGCTGTTTAAAACCAGACTCTACAGTGCCTGCAGGCAGCCAGTTCATGGCAGTGCAACTTATAATGATGTTGTGTTTATACATGGGAGTCTGTTGGTTTGTCGAATCTTTTTTATATTGTAGAGATTATTTGTGTTTTCAGTGGATTCCTTGTTTTTCACCACTGTTTGCCTTACAAGGTGATGTATCTTTTACTAACTTTCCAGTAATGTCAGCCAAAGATCACATTAGAAACCTACCTACAACTTGAAGCTTAGAACTAGTAGAAACAATGTGGACAATGTGTGTAACTTAAACCACCATCAGTTATTCGATCAGTCTTGATTAAGCACAGTCCAAAACCTAGCGATGGACATTTGCTTTGTTATGCTGCCCTCTTGTGGCAGAAGAAGGCTTCTACTCAAAGAATGCTGTCTCAATTAGTACCAAATTATTCCCCCTCAGCTCGCTTTCACAATACTGAGCAAGGCTCTTTGTATTGTTTCTATAACGACAGTCATGCACAAAAGCTCTTTTGGCTCCTGAGCTGCATTCATGCTTTTGTGATTTAGGGCCACTGAATATTTTGTACCATAATAAATCTTTTATGAAAAACTATGTGATGCTTTAAAGGTAGATTTGGGTTGGGATCATTTTACTTCTGTATGCTTGAGCAATATCTCGGAGTAATTTTTTTTTAATGTTCTTTTGTCTCAAACACGGCTGATGAATGGCTGAGTGCTCTTTAATGGCATTTGATCTTCTGTTTCTGTTGCAGCGAATGCATTAACGGCTGAAGCACTGTTTTGTCACTTCTCTGGCTCCTGGATTTGTTAACTGATTGACTTTAGAGAAAATGCTTAACCAATCATAGATATTCTGTTCCAAGCCCGTAGAGTTGGTTCTTGTAACAGTTCGCAGGTCAGCTGTAATAAACTGATGTGTGACTCAGCCTGTTGTTGTGTGATTCAGACAACTCAGAGAAATAAAACGGCACTAATAGGAGGCCAAGAAACCACAAGTTGTAACAAATTGAACATATTTTATTGACACATCACTTAATAAACAAAATGATTCATGTTTATCATTACATTCACTCTCATCTTTGGTTATAAAGCAAACCGCACAAAAGCTTGTTACAGCGTTCGTGTAATTCGTTTTAAAGTGCTCCACATTAATGTGATCTCACATTGTTAATGTGCTGTGTGTTAATGCTCATAAAAACAAACTGGTTACTTACAGTAGACGACACCTGATGGTCTGTTCAGTGTCCTGGGAACAAACTGCAGTTCAGGGAAACACTGTAGAGGAAACACAGACATGTATGTTTAATCTTGACGTCAGTAGTTTGAAAGCTTCCAGAATCAGAGGTGAAAAAGAAAGTCATTAGTGCAAGTAAGTGTTTTGAAATATTTAAAAGCTCATTAGTATGATGACAATATTGAAATTAACCATTTATACAATAAGCATGAATGTGTAAAAGTGTACATTTTGTGGCTTTTATTGCCATTTCCAGTAAATCAGATGATCTTTTTCACAGTAATGCAGGAACCAGGATATTAGAATACGTCTCAACCTGAGCTAAGTAGTCTGCACCAGAACTAGACACATTTTAGCAAATACATTTGAATTTTAAGACACCTTCACTAGATCACTATTTTTGCAAATACAAATAGTGATCTAGTGAAGGTGTCTTATTAAAACTAACAGCACAAAATGAGATAACTTGTGGCACGTTGACCATACTGCAGTCAGTCTATTGTAATGATAAACTTCAGTGTTTCATTTTGCTAGATTTTTTTAGGCTTTTCCCTGTACATGGAAACAGAAACTAGCCAAAAATCAATGACTAAAATAATCAAGTGTTTGTCCAAAAAAAATGCATGGATCTATCTTCCTTAAATTGGAATTATACTATTTTTGATGAAACCATTTTAAAACACTGTAACAAGCATCACGTTGCTGCTCCATTAGCGCCTGACGAGTCAAGTCACATCAATACATTGAGGAGTGAACGTAAAGCCGAATGTCTCACTGCTTTTAATTTCCTGTTATTTGACTCTGTGGCCTGAATCCACCAGCAGCAGAGCAAAAAGTAGAACTAGCATCAGTAAACGACCCGCTGCCAGATTACAAAGTCAAGTATCGGCCACATTGATCGTATTTGTACATGCTAGACTTCGATTGTTACGCGTTGGATTCGTAGGGTTGAGGTTTCCCAGTCAATCAATACTGTCCATTTCCTGAGCTGGGCGTTATAATCTAATAAAAGCTTTGTTTTTGCATAATCAATAACATCGTCGACGACCAGGAGCTGTGGAGTCTTAGAAGGTATGACAGTGGTCTGAACCGGCGGTTGTGATTAATCATGCAGTGATGTTTAAATCCTGTTTCAACAGGGAAGATGAAGCTAAATTAATTCACTTTCTGCTCCCCAGGATTAACAGTGATCTCTTATCTTAACCTCTGATACAACATTGTGTTTTAATTAGTATTACTAATCAGAATCAACACAGTATCCAGAAGGTAAAAGGCATCAAATAAATGTAGTGAAGTTCAAAGAAATCAAATATTTGTTAACTGTAGAGGAGTATAGGTATTCAGTAATAGTAATACTCAAGTGGAGTACTTAAAAAATGTATTGAGTACATAACTTAAGTCTAAGTACTTCATTTACCAGCTGTTTTTGAAAACATTGTTTGCTCTGCCATGAACGAATTAAGACTTTATCACTGAATCTACACCACAGTTTGCTCACATTAACTTTGCCTGCAGATTCTGGCTTTTTGTCCTTCCATCAGTGACATGACAGAACTTAAAGTGACTTGTATTAATCCCAAATTAGTCTAACATCTTTACTAAACAGACACAAGTAAATGTTCAGTTGGGGTTTTTTTTCAATCTAATGCAACAAGAAGTCTGATCGTCGCAGCACATCTGTAAAAACTCATTTCTATTAACATTTCACATAAATTGTGCAAATAATGTAAACAAACATCTCAAAATGTGCATGTTAGCAAAAAAGTAGAAATTTGACTTTAAAAAAAATCACTTTTTGTGGCTAATCATTTTGTTTAGCTGGTCAAAGCAACACTATATGCAATATAATAACGTGGGCTGTATTTTCTTAGCCTGGCCTTTGGGATTAGTGCCAATTGTCATGAAAAAAAAAAAAACCTCAGTCACTACTTTGTCTGAAAACCAGAGTGTACCATTTTGCATGTGTAATTGTAAATTGTAGAACGTGTGGTGTGGACACTTTATACTCACCACTGCTGCCTAAGCCACCGACACAGACCTGGCAGGCTGCACTTGTTCACCTTACTCACCATCATGCTGTCTCTGAACAGCAATTGTAGAGTGATACCAGCTCCGTCCTGGGTGTCAGGTGGTTTCGCTGCAAGGGAGGAAAGCAGGTGCTCCATGGTCCTCAAGATGGCAATGTTTCTCTGGCGAAGCAAGGCGTCCTTCTCATCACAGGACACAGCGTTTGTTTTCATACTGCTATGGCTAAAATGGATGGCAGGAGCAAGTGGAAAACTTTCTTTGCTGTGTAACGTGGCTTTAAACTTATAAAAGGAAAAATAAACAAGTCTCCTAGAAGAATCTGGGGGTGGGTGAGGTCCGCAGCGTGGATTCCTTCCAGCGACGTCAAAAAGGGTAAACAATTTTGGCCTGTTTGCATTTCATTTCCATGCCGCAGCAGACCTCAGATGACGACACAGTGCAGCTTCGGGAAAGCAAACACGCTTCTTCGCTCGTCTCCTCGGAGAGGGTTCAATCAGAGGAGAGGACAAAGACAGGGGTCAACAATATTCCTAGCTCAGGCTCGGGCCAATCCTCTTCCCTGATACAATCATTAAGTCAAACCAAATCATAACTGGGCAAAGTACAATAAAGACAAATCAGCCCAGTGGTTCAGCTTGGCCTCGGCAGGGAGACAGCTTAAAGTGTAGGTGCTATGGAAATTTCAGTGCGCTGTCACCCACAATCTCCCGAGCGGAGTGTGTGACGGCCGGCGATGAGCTTCCCTCGCCTCCTATTCAGAACCGGGAACAATGCACGTGAAACCTTTTGAGTAACGGCCGCAGGAAACAACAGGATACTGGCATGTGCTGCTGCTGTTTGCTCCGGCCCTCGATTCCACAAACTGCCCCGCTGAATGCATCTGCCACTGTGTCACACTGCAAACTGGACTCTGGCTGTAAACAAGGGGCAGCTGAGGCTCCTCCATCCTGAACAGGTGTTCGCATGCCAACAGGAACAGTTGAGGACATAACAGGGGATCATGAGGGAGGAAGTAATGTATGACGGGCAACTTAGGAGGTCAGAACTGGCCTGTATGCAAACAGCGATCCTCGCACGAAACAGGGGTCTCTCTTCACCGGTGCTAAACACACTGCAAATCGTCTCCCCCTTCTTGTGTGCGGGAACAAAATTTCAAGTGACAACTCCTTCGAAACACAATAAGGTATGGCAGCTTGTTTCTTCAATTCACTTCCATCGAAGAAACATGTTTCCCTTCAAATGAACAATTTATTGATAATCGGTCACATTAAGTGCCCAAACGCACTTGCAGGTATGTGAACAGGTTCGCACGGGCTCTACGGATTTTCCTTTCCCATGACATCAAAGTGTACATTGCTCAATTTTCCATTTAAAACAGAAGTCATCACAGGTGCAGATGGGCTACACAACTTAAAAGCTGCCTCATCAGTGAGGACTCACAAACACTAGGTTGCCTTCTCTGCAGAGGTTTTTCGGCTCTGCGCTCGTCTCCTCAGGAGTCCAAAGTTGCAGTTGGGTGTGATGTTCACACGTACAACAGTTTTCCCACATGACTGTTTTCAATACATATTAAACCAAAACTCAGCAAATTATAATTCACGGTGGGTTACTACTGCATGACAAAACATATGATGGCAAAACAAAACAGGGTAAGTAGGCCTTGGGGGGAAATGTTGGCAAGCATGAGTGAAATACTGGCAAATTTAGCCCTCTAAAATTTAAGTTATTAACTGTTAAGGTACCTCTAAAAGTCTAAAACTGCACAGACCTACTTACTGAACAAATAGCAGGTTCGTTACATTGTACCAGCATTGTACTGATTTTGAATATTATTCTTGGTGGACCTACTGGTTTTCAGGGAAATAATCAAACAGAATGTCAAATAACACAAAGTCCTCTAAGCTTCTTTATCTGTTACTAATGTAGTTTGTCGTCGATCACATTGCACAACCATTTCTAAGGTAGGGATGCACAAAATAAAATTTGAAGTAAAAATTATGAAAAAAAAGGTGTTAGTATTTGCTTCACTATGCTATTGTGTTATGGGCTGTTCCCTGGGCAAAAAAAAAAAAATCATACCAGTTAGTATTCGGCATTCCACACAGAGTTGACATGACAATTTAGTTTTACCAGTGGACACAAACTGACTTCATTGTCTATCTTGCAATTTGGTGTTCAAAGTCTGAGGAACACAATACAAACACACGCAAAATCCAAACAATGAACCTGAACAGAACGTGTAACCTTTTAAGAGGGATCAGTAACTGAAACGTTTGACCTGCGTCTAGAGAACTTTTAAATGTAGATCTTTACATTTTCCAACTTTGACACTGCACACAGGCAGGTCAGAGTGAGCTGCATCAAAACTAAAAGGCATCGCACAATTCTTTTCAGTACAAACACACTCCACTCATCTGGCTTCTTTTTTTTTTTTAAGCTACCTTGCAAGCACAGGAATATATTTGACATAGGACATCATTTAGTAAATGGGAGTGTGGTTCACTGGAGGAGAGTTGTGCGATGCTTTGACCTTCAAAATATTACCAAGGTTCTTTTCTCCATTCACTACACCTTTGATGAATACCTTCAATTCATAACTGTCATGCTCACGTTTGTCTCCATCCATCAAAAAGTGATAATAGTCAACATATTATTGCACTGTAATTCAAAGCTTTGAGAAAGGAAATCTTTCCTTTGTGTAAATACCTTGAAAGGAGACTGACACAATAAAACCACCTGTACAGTACAATATAATAGTACTAGCCCAGAAACAAACGGGACTTCTTTTTTTTTAAGCTTTTCTGTTTGTAGTGAACACTGTCGTTGTTTGTGGCTTTGTTGTAACGGAGGTGTTATTGTGTCCACTCCTTCCATTCCTATTTTTTTGTTTCTTTGTTCTCGTACAATTGGACAGTTAACATTTTTAACCGGTAAATGAAGCAAAGAATTTCTTGTATGACTTGTCTGTTCAGAGTTTAAACTGGAATTGAACTGACTCAACTTGAAATTCCTCAAATACTGCTTAAATTTAACCATTTTACAGAATTCTGGCTGACTCACTGCAGGTTTATGACTCTGTGAACAATTCATACACCCTTTTAAAAAAGGAATTTCAAAAACACACACCCTTTTAGTTTTACGGGAGGGCACTGTTTGTCCTTTTAGTGGATTACATGGCAACATACAAACACTCAAGAACCATACTAGTGTACCCCATGATGCAGAACACACAGCATGCAATAGTTACTGACATACAGCAGATTTTTTTTTTATTCCACTTGAACTTAGTGTATTGTGATTTTTTTTTTTTTTTTTTTTAAGATGCTCCACGAACCACAATCATGACCAGATAGTCCTCTTCACTTTTTGCCAGAGCTTTGGCAGAGGAATCCAGGAACTGCTGGGAGAAATCACAGGGAGGGAAAGCATGAAGAACCCCTGTGTTGTCTTTATCTCTGCTTCCTCCCACGGGCAGGCTGATGACTCCAGCTGCTTGTTTTTGGTTGAGGTAGGACACCAGGTTGCGAAGCGGCCGTTGGGTTGAGGCTGCAGGGTCGGATGAAGATGTATCCTCGGTGGCTCCAGGAACTGCCAAGAGGATGGCATAGCCGCCGGGACCTGCCACCTTGATGCGCCGGGACACCTCGTCGAGCTTGGGTTGGTCCAGACGGAGACGCTGCGTGATCTTTAGCTCGCTCACCTGCCTCCCGGTTGTGCTGTCGACAAGCAGGTCGCTGGCTACGTTGTGGTCACCCTCCAGCAGGTGCATGTTGGCTGGGAAGTTGCTGTTCTTCAGTAGCAGCATGCCGTGCCAGGCCAAACTGAGTTTTGTTCCATCGGGCTTGGATGGCTGGCCTCCCTTGGAACTGCTCTCAGAACGTTCTCTTTTGGCTGGCCCTTTGCCACCATCGCCTGCTTTGCGCTTACGCTCTCCAACTACTGAAATGATGTTGCTTGAAGGTCCTTTGTCAGAGAGGCTCTGGCTTTTGAGCCTCCGTTCAACCCCTGCTCGTTCCATGCTAGTGTGACGTTCTCGGGCTGGGGAGGCTCTCTCGCCCCTCATAGGGCGTTCTGAGTCACTGAAGCGCCCTCCATCTCTGCTGCTGCCTCCAGGGCTGCCATCTGGAGAAGCACGTCTACGCCTTACTGTCCTCTCAGTGCTGTCAGGAGAGTGGTCTACATGACGCCCGTCCTCCATTACACGCCGCTTGCGTGCAGGTTCTCGGCCCTGTAGCTCTCGTTCCAAAGACCAGGGCTCTCGAGTCCGCCGCTCACGTTCCAAATGTTCTAGAGGCTCAAAGGGTGAGGCACGTACCCGTTCACGAATAGCCGGGTTGGGCCACTCAGTTCCGGGAAAGAGCTCCCTCTCCCTGAAGTGAAGCGGCGGTGGAGTCCGTTCCCTGACCCTGAGAGGTTCAGGTGTGGCACGGTGGACAAATGACTCAGTCACCATGTCAAATGGTGGTATTGGGAGAGGCTGCAGAAACTGCTGCTGGTAGCGATGTTCAGTGTCGGCAAAGTCCACTCTGAGTCTTCTCTCTGGACCTCCCAGTGGGAAGCCCCTCATGTGTGTGCACGCTGCTTGTGCAGCATCTAAACTTTCATACTGAATGTAGGCCCAAGTGTCCCCCTTTCTATAGTCAATGGTCCTTATAGTGCCAAAGCGATCAAACTCTCTTGCTAGTGCAGCTAACGGAACCCAGGGTCCAAGTCCACCCACCCACAGGCGTGTGGTGGGTGTAGCTTTCCCATAGCCTATCTTTATAGGGTTGCGGCCCACTATTTTGCCAGACATACTAAGCTTAGCACGATGAGCCATATCAAGATTCTCAAATTTCAGAAATCCATATGTGCTGGTTTGCCCCCGTGTGGGTCTCTTAATGTCCACTTCTGTTATGACCCCAAACCGGTCGAAAGCCCTCCTCAGGTCTGCTTCTGTAACAGTTATGTCCAGGTTGCCTAAAAACAACGTCCTATTAGCTCTTTGGTCATCTTCTGGAGAAATAAAATCCTCTTCGCGAAAAGCTGCTCGCTCTGCAATGAAAGCGGGCCGTGCCCTGGCTTCAAACAGGGCGAACTCCCGGTCCCGCTCCAGCTCTCTGGGTAAAGGAGGCGGTGGGGGAGGAGGCAGCCGTCCCAGGGCCAGCTGCTGCAGCCGGTAGTCTCTGTATCCGAGCCCAGTGGGCGAGAGGGGTCTCTGCAAATGTCTATGGCTCTGAGCTGCACCGTACAAGTCTCTCTCCACGGGGGAACGGCTTCTCCTCCTGTTGATGTAGACCGCCTCGATCTTCAGCGGCCGGTCGTACAGCACCAGCCGGCCCCTGGCGTGCTTCGCCGCTCTGGCGTCCTCCGGCTTCCTGAAATTCACGAACGCGATCCGCTCGTCGTTGCTGCGGCTTATCTTGACGCTCACGTCTCCAAATTTCTTAAATTCATGAAACAGTCCGTCCTCTATGTCTTCGTCGCTCAGCTGGGTGCCGAGGTCGCTGATTTTGAGCGTTTTGTACTCACTCTCGGCGCTGGGCGGCTGGACGCGCTGCTCCCCCCGTGAAGTGGTCCTCGCTGCGGCTAAATCCAGCGTTAGGCTCAGGTTGTGGTTTTTACCGACGGAGCTAGCAGCAGCAGACTGACAGCTGTGATTATTTCCAGTTCTACTGTGACCGTCAAAGTCTCGGTCTCTTTTCTCGCCGAGCAGGCTCCGTCTCGTCGAGCCGCCGTCGCTCTTCGTCGAACTATTTCCATTATTACTCCCGCTGGAAACGGACAGAGCCCCCATTTTCTTGCTGGTCGGGTGGCATCCTCCCCTGTCTCGAATATCGTCCAAGGCCCGGGAGCGTTTTTTAATCGGCGACCGCTCTTTACCTTTCATCTCAGCCCACTCGGAGTCGACCGTCGGGGACCTTGGCCTTTTTTTTAGTGCTGTTTCTGCAAACGGGTGCAGAAAATGATTGAAATGAAAAACGGATTTATTCACTGACCCTGCGGCAAAACAACAACAGTCGCCATTTTGTAAAGATTAGCGTGAAGACCCGCCCCTTCCTCCTGATTGGCTGAAAAGTGGGTGGAAAACTTGAATGCGCATGTCAATCACCCACTGAGCCACTGAGAAACAAAAAAGATGTTTATTTCTGTGTTTTTTTTAATGTGAACTGAGTGGACAGAATAACTGAAATACTTCACAGGAATCAAATATCAAACACAGCCAGTCATCAGTGAGTTGAGTCTTTAACAAGGTCTCCCAATACTGTACAGTATGAGCAGGAAAAATATAACATTTATTTAAAAATTCCCCATTCATCACAGGTCTATTTAAATGTACCAAAATGTTGCTATTACTTTGTCCATCTACAGACAGGTGACTGTTGGAGGCCAGATTCTGACACAAAAAATAATCTAGAATTTCCCAGTAGAAGAAAAAACATGATTCAGAGCAACAGACAAACCTTTTGCCTTTAATCAGGCTTAATACCACAAGGTGGCAGTATCTCTCAAAAAGTACAGTAGCCCTATCCTTAAAAATGTCATCTGGTAGATAAGACCATTGTTTTCTTTCTTTTCTTTTTTCTTTCTGTCTGTTGTAATGTATTCCTTTTAGATTTAATTGACTGTTGAATTCAGTTTCGGGGGTATACGTTCAAGGCAACTTACTGAACAGCCTGCCAGTGTTCATCTTTTATTTGAGTTCTTTTCTCCCTGTTTCCAAGTGAAACTTTGGTTTAAAGTATGCAAAAACAAAATAACACTTGGTTGAGGTCACCGTTTCTACCGACTATGTTTTGCACTTCTGCACAGCCTGTTATGTGCCGTCAACCCGGGGCGGCACTAGATGTTCTAAAGGGCTTTTTTTTTCCTGCAGAAAATAAACTGCTGCACAGATTTCCATTGATAAATGTCTTTAATCAGCTGAAACCACTGCAGCAGACCTTGCTGAACCTCACTCCACCGTTTTTGACTGAGCTGGTCACACTGTGCCGGCACATTGTTTAGCTTAGGGCAGTGTGTTGAATACAAGTATCTGTTGGGTCACAATAGCTGCACTTTGAGTCCAAGATAAATCTTGTTGAGATCAAAGCTGGGAACAGTGGCCAGCAGGCAGCTTTACAGATTTTAATGAGCATTAAATCATATTTTCAGTCCATTAATGAGGCCTGGTATAGTAACTTCCAGACTTTAGTGACAGTCTTCACCCAATGACCCTGACAAACACAGTGATGCTGACTTAATACATGCTTCCAGCATCGCACAGTCAACATTTTTCATTCAATTCTGACAAAATATATAAAGCCTTTGTAGATATATTGAGTTAATACAGATCAAAGGTTATGCTACAGCACTGCAACTTTAATGAAAGCTTGATCAAAATGCACATCCCCCTAGGTAATTATTTTTAGTATTTTGAGACCTTTTATGTAAGTTGAACAAACCATACTGCACATTTGTTACTGTGAGCTTCTCTAGTACACCTGTCCTGACAGTGTTAAAGTATTAACAAACTAAAATCCCTAAGCCATCAACTTTCTGTTTTGTTTATGTGCAGAGATTAAATTAACCTGCTCCCTATGTAATAAATATCAGAATTAAACACTGTTCCACCATCTGCTGTTGCTTCAGCTTTCCTAAAGATGGCCATCTCCTCAATCCTTTATCCCTACTGACAGCTCCTCTTATCTTCCCCACTTAATCTGGGATTTAATCAGGGGGACTATGTAACTGCAGTAAGAGCTGCCGCCTCCCAGGGCCTGGCTGGAATTTGAAGCTGTGGGTGTGGAAAGTGTTTCTGATGGGTTTGTGCTTTCTTCTATTGGAACCACATGTTGGTGGCTCTTACAAAAGCCCGGCACAGAGTAAAGGAACGGCAGCTAATCCACTCCAGCGTGGCGCTCACGATGAAGCAAACGCAGACAAGAGATAGTCAGTATATTCCCCCCGAAAGCAATGTACACTCCTGGGGAGTGAGTGGAGCTCAGAAGGGCTTTGTCCAACAGTGGAACCCTTGTTTTTTAAAGATTTCAATGTTTGTCCATATGACATGAATATGTTGGTATTTAGTAATTTACACCAGATGGGATGGTACCATGCAATTCAATGTTTCCTTGACAATAAATTGTTTTGGAGTAAATCACAACGAGGAGATTTTCTGAAAACAATTATTAGGCCTGCATTCGGAATGCATGCGAGGCTAAATATGCCACAGAAGTGTATTAATGTCATATTCTGCCCCTGCACATGAATGATACGTATTTATAAATAAAAGCAGAAATCAGATGGCCTGGCTTCAGTGGATAATAATATCAAACAAAATATATTCTCGGATGCAGTAAATCCCATTTCTCCTAATAAACTGTAAGTCATTACTCAGATGGTCGGGTTAACCGCCGATGCCAGACGCGAATGAGAAATCGACGCACAGCCAGCCGTCTGCGGGAGACTCTCTATATCAATGGTGAAGTGTGGTCACTCGGTTAGCTTTTCCACTAATGAACCTGCCACTCTCTGCTGATACATGAAGTGTCACCTGAAGGCCTCTTGAAGTGAAGCCAAGTAGGCTGCACATGTACAGTCTCTCTGTACACTTCCCCACATATTTGTGCTCGTGGCAGCTACTGCCTGTAAAGCATATTTGCCTCACAACCACAAGTCATGTCCAGGCTAAAATAATTGTGGCTGAGATTGTTTTTGTTCCACTTTTTAATATCTTTTTCCCCCCAAAAAAAGTTTCCTACTGAATAAGACAATTGATTTAGATAGAGGCCTTTATTACAGGTCACACTATAAAGGACAAATTACATTAAGTGACATTTGGGATTAATACGGTAATTAGATTTATTTTTTTTTAACATGCTTAAATATTTTATCCTCTGGTCTCAGCATTTTGATATCAAAGTGAAGTGGACATAAGAAAGTTCCTGTCAGTACGTTGAGTTTCGTGCTCAAGTCGTCTCCTTAATGTTGATGAAATTCCTGCTCCAAAATATTCTGAATTGTGGAAAGTCTCCAGGTTGGCTTACATAAATGCTAAGAGGAAATATTTGAGTCATATGCTGAGGTGGGTGTGTATATCTGGGACTGTGTACGGGTCAGGAATGTTATATGCTTTGGCTCAGTCAGTGCATAATGGGGAGCTGGCACTGTTGTGGTCATGTCGGCCAGGAGAGGATGCTGCCCGGCTCTTTGGCTTTCATCCGCAGCGCCACCAGACCCGTCGGCTTGTAGTCAGCCTCAGGCCCCTCGATGGAGTGGGACCCGAGCCCTCCTGGGAAACTGTGGAGCGAGTAGAGGCCGTTGATGCCTGGATGGTGAGGCGGGTGGTGGTGGTGCGGGTGGCTGGGGGAGGCGGGCATGCCCATGAAGCCCTGCAGGTTGCTGTGGGGGTGGGGGTACGGGCTCATGCAGGACGAGGGGATGGAGTCGGCTCCGAGGACGCAACCAGCACCTGAGGCACCGCTTCCTCCCGAAGCCGCCGTTGGCCACAGGTTGCCCTGCATCTGGATGGGGAGAGATTGAGGATATTAGACATTTGGAATCCATCATACTTTGCTATAAACAGAAAATTAAAAAGCAAAGAAAAGCAAAAGGTTGGATTGAGTTTGTTCAGTTCCTGTAAAAAAAAAAAAAAAGCTCTGCAACCTCTGAGCAGGAACAATGCGACTGCTACAACAAGTATGCTAAATGAGATCTGCAGTGGCCTACCTGGTATGTATCATGGCGAGGGAGAAGAGAAATATCATATGTAGCAGCAAAGTGGTTGCGGACCTCCTGGATCTTCCCGTAGCGTTCCCGTTTCCTCCACTTGGCTCTACGATTCTGGAACCAGACCTTTCAAATACAAAAGCACGGCATAACAGCACATTTCTACAGATCTTACTCAAACCTTAAACCCTCTTTTGCTTATACTTATAAATTTTAAATCAAATATGAAGTCATTGTGAGAACAAACCTGAACCCGAGCCTCGGTCAGCTCCGTCCTGAGCGCCAGCTGCTCCCGGGCGTACACGTCTGGGTAGTGCGTCTTCTGAAACACTTTCTCCAGCTCCTCCAGCTGAAAGGTGCTGAAGGTGGTGCGATTGCGTCGCTTCTTGTTCTTGCCCGATAAGTCGATGGAGTCGGCGATAGAGTCTCCCTGTAAACCGCCGCCCGGCTCCTTCAGCTTGCCACAGCAGTCTGAGCCAATCCCGGGATAGCTCAGGGGTTTTGGGGCTCCTTTCTCCCTGACTAAGGCACACACAGACAAAGACAGACAGTTACCATTACACCACCATTTTTATTCACAATTCATCAGCATCACTGTGTAGTCTGATGGTTTTATAATATGCCACTTGTAGTTGTTTTCTGAGTGTTAAAGTCACAGTGTTGTTTCAACTTCAAATAATCAGTTTCTTTGTTTGTCTGGAAGCCACTATTATTGTTGCTGCACATTTTGGCCAGAATAAGCTTTTAAAAATGGAATGAAAAAATCTCAATTATGTCTTTCTGAGTAAATGACGAACATTTTCTGCACATGATTTATACAGATTCCTTTTGGATAGTTGCCAAAAGACTTGGGCAACCCAACAAATGATTTAGCAGCTTTTTACAGGGAAACACTGACAAATATTCATATGTATCATCAGATTTGATATCTTTTGAAATGTAAAGGATGAAGAGAACATGCTGTACTTTCAAACAGAAGAGGTCAGAGTTGGAAATCCAAACTCGTTGCCCCCACACAAACAACTGAATGAGCAGCCACTCCCCTTTTCACTGCCAGAGAAGTGATCTGACGTCCGTCTATAACCAGCACAGTTCCACCTTGATATCATTCTGGCACAAAGTTGTCAAATTTTAAAACCAATACATTGAAATTTTACACAGTTACGAATACATCAAACGTTTTGTTGGTGAGGTATGACTGAAAACCGTGAACGTTTTGCTTGTTTCTCATTTTGACTCCTGAGCTTAAAATGTCAAGAGGCTGAACTGTGAGACGTGTCTGAAAAGCAAAACACACACATGCAGTGAAAATTCATCTGATTAGCCTGGACAACTCTTATCTAGCACACAGAGAGCTGAGATGAGTTAAACCCACATTGCAATACGCAGAAAACGCGATAATTCAGAAGAGACGGTTTTTAGAGTCACCTAAACTTCATGGAAACTTACTGAATGATGACCACGACCACTAGGATACAACGCTGAAATGCACAATGAGATTATATCTGTTAAAACACATGATTGTTGGATTAATAATGCATACATTCTGGCCTTTGCATCCAGCAGAAAGGGAAAACGTAAAAGCCTTATTTTCCTTCCTGTTAACAGATGATGGAAATGGCGGCTCCCTCCTGCAGTGTTTGGACGTTGTTGTCCATGTTCATTACGTTTAACCCTGAGCTCCAAAACAAAACCACTCTCCATCTATCTGCAGGCACTCACTCACTGGGGGCAGCCGAGACACTACTTTGCTATTCTCCTAATTCAATATGGGGCCCCAACAGAGAACACTCTTCATTGCAGCATTAATTTCCTCATGTCCATTAGATCCAACCTTACACCACATGCTGAAAATATTCTCCGTCGCAAACAGGGGCCGCAGGACACTGAATAGCTTTTACCTTGTCAAACAGCCACATCCGCTCTGCCTCCACTCCAGTGTAACTGGAGAGCTATGTGAAATGCAGGAAAAGGCAAATAGGGGATAAATTCAGAAAGTATAGGAATATCATGCTGTGAGCGGTAGGATGAGTTCTAATGCGCTGCAATTGTCGTGGAGGGAATGTGGACAGCATTTTTCCAGACCTCTTGCTCTGCACATTAGGATTTTCAATTTGTGCAGCTTTCGCCTTGAAAACAAATAATTCATCCTTGTCCTTAACGAGCACTGAACTTTTACTGGTTTTGAATTGATCTTCTGAAGTTATTACAGCAGATGAAGAACGAACATTTAAAAAAATAAAAAGTCTCAGCCTCTTATGGGGAACATCAAGGAGTTTGTACAGCTTCACAAAATTACATAATTACGTGTGGGATTATTCGTTTTGTTCTCGATAATATGATTTTGTGATTTTATGAATTTGTGGCCGTGGTATTTTCTGTGTCCAAAAAATGAATAAAGTATGAAATTGAATGCGCCTGTGGGTATGTTTTCTCTGGAGTATATGTTGGCGGGTACGGCATCCATATAAAGATAAAATAAAATCTCTTATTGTAAACATCATATTTTAAAAATATATATATATATAGCAAGAAATTATAAAACATTTTAAAAAAATGTTATGAATAAAACAAACGCATTCAAGCCTTTAAACTCTGCAATGAAGAAAATCAAAAGAAGCATTACTTACTTTTTACATCCCGGTTTTTCCTTTTTTAATAAAATTAAATCCTATGTCCTTTTTTTTTTTAGCAAAAAAAAGTAAAAAATATATATTAACATAAATCTAAAATATAATAATAAGTCTAATTAAGAAGTTTTTCTTAATTTAAACTAATCAAGAAAAAACAGCCCCGAAAAATGCGTTCCATTTTGAAATTGCAAGAATCAAGAGTGAAACACGACACTACAAAACAAAAAAATCGTTCAAGGTGTGAAGCTGGTCAAAGGCTATTTCATGTGTCGGCCTGTCTCACCATCTCTAAACTTTCAGCCCAGTGTAGACAAAACAGGAAGAAGTGTCCACCTTTGAAGGACCGAAACTCGAAAACACACAAGTGAAGACTAGCGTGAGTAGCTACACACACACACACACACACACACACACACACACACACACACACACACACACACTCTATCTACTTTGCACATGTATGCAAAACCACACACACTTGCAGTAACATGCTGGAAATTACAAAATAAATTAAACTCGCTCCTACCAGTTATTAGTGATAAATGTGTGTGTGTGCACATCATGAGAGAGCTTTTTCTTATTTAAACAGTATTTCAAAGAAACTTTCTAAAAAATCCACTTTAAAAGAGGACAGCTGATATTGTTTTCACAAGTAATTGTGGGAAAAAAAAATCTGTTGAATCTATTGGCTGTCTTTGGCAAAAACTTGAATGAAACTGTTGTATATTATTCTGGACACTGATATCACAAAGACCTTATCAGAGCTGATATCCTCAGTTGCTTTGCAGAATCATCAGCACCAATAAACAAAGTGGAAGACCACATAATTTCTTCAGGCTTCGGTTCAAAATCCACATACGTTACTTTTCTTCCCAAGTTGGACGTTTGCGCTGTGACGTCTGACAGCATTTAAAGCACCAGCCTGCCTTCAGTCAGCTCTGTTCTATTTTACGTTTTTGTTTTTGAACTTGCAATGAGAAGCAACTTAAAGAAAAAGTCAAAATGCTAAAATACAGAAACATCAGGCTGAATGTTGGCCTGCAACACTGACTAGTCCTCCAATGACACACCCAACTTGCTGCCAGGATGACCTTTAACCTCTCTGGCTTTACATCAGGGACTGTCAAGTGAAAGAAAACCTGCTGACATTTTTATCACAAGCATGATTTTCTTTGCATAAAGTCAGACTTTTGTTTCATTATTGGCTAAAAAAGACACGATGTCAAAGTGTGCCAAAAAAAGTGGACAATTTGGTAAATTGATCCACGGATTTGTCTTTGAATTTCTTATAAAAAATGATTGATGACTGATAAAGATTGTAATCACATTTGACTTCTTCATTCATTAATTATTTTAATGGCTTGTCATGTGAGGCGTGGCCAATATTTAAAATTTCACAACAAAAAAAAAAGGGAAGACTGTCTTCTCGGACTAAAGAAATTCATGCGTAAAACACTTTAACGCCTTTTCAAATAACTCCTATAAAATCCAGAGTCACTTTCTATCACATGTGCTTTGTTTTCACTAAACGATAAAGAAAATGTAGTCATTATGATGAGTAGAAGTAGAACGTAGTGCTAGAATGACTCTTGTTGTTTTGGGCACTTTCCCTCATCGATGAGCGCGTTTTCTGCTTCATGTCTTTAATTTTTAAAAACAAACATTTTCTTTAACTTACCCTCCGTGTTGTTGTCATAAAACGCCGGTTTGCCGCTTATCGCTGCCCCTTTTTGATCCGGGTTTATACTCTCCAAGAACTTGCTGTGTTTGGACGGTGAGCCGGGCTGGTTCGCCGGCGCAGAGCCGTGCGTAAAGTCCGCCGCGCCGTCGCCAAACCTCCCCATGGCTGCGGCGTACAGATCCCCGCGCAGGCTGAGACGGTGAGGCAGAGGAGGAGGAGGAAGGTGCGAAGGTTTCTGCAGCTCATCGCAGGGAAGAAAGGAGCCGGAGCCGCCGTGCTCCAGTCCCGGTGAGTTTGCCGGCGTCCTTCTGCTGGTCTGCGAAGAGAAAGGCAAACAAGTCTCCGTCTCCATCTTACGGATCCAGCAAAGCGGGATAGACAAACAGCGACTGGGCGCTGTTAGCGTGGGCGCCTGAGTGAGAGGTTTTTTTTCTCTTCTGTGTTCATGTCAAGTGGGTGGGATTTAACAGATCAGAAACAA